ATATACTTATGGTTGTTATTTATTCAATATTGAGTAAATAGTCCACAAATTTCACTTCAGAAATATAGTGTGTTTGAATACAGGGTAATGCCTCAAGGGTTGTAATGTCTTTTTAAAGCATGAAAAATTATAAATTCCAAAGGTTTTAGGTAAAAAAATTGTAGAAATGTGCAATCATTCTTCCAGTTTTTTAATGGTCAATATGTAACACAGTCTGCAATGTGTATGTTAATCTTTTATTTCTCTAAATATACTTTTCACATCTTGCTCAAAATAAAACTCATCTGCTCAATATAAAAAAAAATTCTATAGTAATTGTTAATAGAACATGAATTTGTTCTTTGTTATTTCAAAAAATGTTTTTAATATATTTGGAAGTTCTGATTGTAAATGTCATATACATACATATAATTATACATGCATATACAGGGCAGGGCAAAGGTAGGTTTGCAGTTGTTCATATGGAAAATAATACAATAATTAATAAGTAATACTATAAGAATAAACTCTGTGTTTTGTGTACTCTCAACTATAAACCTACTTTTGCCCCACCTTGTATTGTATATCATTAAATTTTTGAATATATTGAGAAACAGAAAAGTATTAAAAAGATAAAAATCACTGATAATACTACTACTGAGATATTATATGATTTATGACCTAATTTTTTAATAAGCCAATATATGTGCAGACACATAAATATTAATAAACTAAGATAATAGTATATATAGTTAAATGTATATCTTATTTATTCACTTCATATTATTCATTGTTTTCTATTATATTTTATATCAGACTTTACGTCCTCCAGAAAGCTTTCTTTTGATCCTCCACTAAAATAGGCAAATTGTCATTTTTTTACTTGTGCTTTTTCCTACATGTGCTTAAATTTACCATACTTTACTAGGTGACTTTGTTTGCTTACTTGCTTTTCCCACCTCCAGGCTGTAAACTCCTTGATAGTAGGATTATATTTCATGTTTCATTTAATCCTTAACATCTAATTCAGTGCTTAGTAAATACCATATAGTGGTTGATGCTGTGTTGTATAGGTGGACAGTATTTAATATCAATATTATTTGTATATCATGGTTTAAGTGACCATTTTCTATTATTTAACATTTACAATAGTTTACAGTATTTTTATCATAGAAAATACCCTCTCTATATATTCTTATAAATATCACACCTCTGATTATATTCTTAGGTTCCAAGAATGTGAATTATTAAATTTTTAAGGAGGTAAAATGACAGTTGTTCTAGCTTATTGGATGAGTTTGTAGGCTCTGGAAACATAGCACCTGGTTTTAAATTCAAGTTCTTAACACTTTATATTTTTGTCCTTAGAAATGTTGCTTAACTTTTCAAACTTTATCTTCTTAATCCATAAAACTGGATGAAGTAATAAGATCTAACTTCTTATATTGCAAAAGTTATTAGAGTTAATACAGGCAAATTTATAGCCCAATGTCTGGTAGCTGGTAAGCACTAAATATAACCTATGTTATTATCATCTAAATTATAACCATTTAAATGTTATTCACATACCTAATTGCTTTTCAGTAACAACACATAACATTTTTTCTGCTTTTCCATTTTTGTTATTTCCTTAGAAAATTGTTTCCATCTAGAGAGTATTATTTACATATATTTAAGTAAATTTTACAATTATTTTTTGTCTTTAATTCTTTATTTATTTTAGTTTGTTTTTGTGTGCATAAAAGTTCACACACAAATATGTTTTTTTAAATAGGTAATTTTTTTCTACCACTATTATTTGAATAATCATTCTATTTTCAACAACGTTCTGATATTCCTTAACTACATATTATTTTTAAATCATGTATGGTATATTGCAGTGTGTTTCTTTTTTGTTTTTCTTATTGATTTATCAAATAAACTACTCATGATTTTATAGAGTTTAATAAATGTCACTATCACATGAAACTATTATACTTTCTATTTTTTTGCGTTATATTTTCCCCTTTACTCCTGTAAACCTATTTTTAGAATTGTTTTTGGTAAATTCTCAATGAAACATTACAGGAAGCTTGATTGGAAATGCACTAAACCTGTATTATAATTGAGGCAAACAGATAAATTTTGCCCTATTCATTTTTCTGATTCAGAAATAACATTTGTTGACATCTTACCACTTGGGCGGTTTCTGGCTTTTAAAGATATGAATTTCTGAGTTGCGGGCAAATACTAAAAGGAAGAGTAAGTATTCTTCCATATTTCTTTCATGAGAAGTTGTTTGCTTTTTCTTGTACTTAAACAGGACACAGACTTTTTCAGGGCAGCCTTTTTGACTTAAAATTTTCAGCTACTTCTTACTGATTTGGCAATAGGTTTTCTTTCATTCCAGATGTTCAATGTGCTTGTAATTTATCATCATATTCTGCATCAAAGGATTTTTTGTTGCTATTATGATTTTTTTCTAAACAAGCTGGGAAATGTCATTTATATATACTGTACAAGTAGTGGAGATATGCCAACAAATTTGATGTGTATAGTTCTTTTGAGAAAACAAAATACAAGTAAAATAGACAAACATATAAAGTTATAATTATAACAATTGGAAACAACCTGGAAGGAGGTACAAAAGTTGTCCCTCCCTTCCTGGATTATGCCATGGGTTATAAAAAGGGTCAGGTATTGAACAATAACAATGAGTAACAATGAGTAATAACAATGAGTATGGAACTCAGTTGAACTCACCTGGGGACACAAACTGTATAAGAATATTTATTCATCAGAGAACATTTTGAAATGATTCTTTAAAAGAAATAATAGTAATTATTTGTGAGTTCACCTCAGCAGTAAAACTTTGAAATTTATTACCAATAGTTTTCTCCCAATTCACAGTACAAAATTTTTGATTGGTTGATTTATTCTAAATTTTATGTTTTATATCTTTGTTAAGAAGTTCTCACCAATAACAGGTGAACAAGAGACAAATGAATTTTACAGAAAATAATTTGAAATAGCCAATCATCTTTAGTTTGCTATTTATTATCTTTTTGAAATGGAACTATATATATATGAATATGATTTTATATTGTACTATATGGTGATATTTTCTGCTTGTTTAAAATGATTTTTAGCTTGTTTAGTGTAATTGAATATATCACAATTAAGAATACCAAGTACCTAAACAAGTATGAAAGCCATTATTTTAGAACATATATCTCAAAGTAGTTAACCAATAACATCAATGTTTTAAAAATTTCTCTACTGTTAGCTTTTCTGTTTCTCTCCAGTAGCAAAATAGTCCCTCTGTTCTCCTTTTAGTAACTACATCTTTTTGGAGCCCTGTTGCATAAAGGAAAAACATGTCTGTAATAAAGAGGGAGTTTATAGTCATAATTCAAGCCTTAGGGAACTATAAGTTAAGGAGAACCACTGGTCATTCCTATGTGATTATTAAGGGAAGTACAGAGGGATAAAATGTTTAACCAACTCATACCTGTCAACAGACTACTTTCACTTAAATGGAAGATCAGGAATTTGCATTAAATTGACTGAAGACCCTTCAACAAGTACAACATGTCTGAAGCTGCTTGAAAGAAAATCAGTAACTGGATTGGAGTATCATCCTTTAACTTCCAGGTCCTATAATATTCATTCTCTATAAAGGGGCACAATCTTTTCGTCAATGCATATTTACTCCTGTGCTGTAATCAGTGTAAGTGAAATTCTATATCAGTGTACTGATTCATGTTCTTTTTTATTTTTTAAATTTTTTAAAAATTATTTATTTATTTATTTATCAAATACATTTGTCTCAGCCTACCCCCCACTACTTTTCCCTGCCTCTCTCCCCCCTCCCTCCCTCAATCCTTCCCCACTTTGGCTTTGTCCATGACTCCTTGCTATGTTCCTCGACTTGACTCTTCCCTTCCTTTTCCCCACCCATCCCTCCCTCCTTCCCTCTTGTCTCTGTTGGTTTATTTTTTCTTTCAGTGTTGCTGGTTTTATTTTCCCTGCATCTTTGTTTTGTTGGTTAGGTTCCACTTATAGGTGAGATCATATGGTATTTGTCTTTCGCCCCCTGGCTTATTTCACTTAGCATAATGCTCTCTAGTTCCATCCATACTGTCACGAAATGTTGTAGTTCTTTTTTTCTTACTGCTGCGTAGTACTCTATTGTGTAAATGTATCATCATTTTTTGATCCAGTCATCTACTGATGGGCATTTAGGTTGCTTCCAGCACTTGGCTATTGTCAATTGTGCTGCTATGAACATTGGGGTGCATAGGTTCTTTTGAAGTGGCGTTTTGGGATTCTTAGGGTATGGTCCCAGCAGGGGAATCACTGGATCAAAAGGTAGTTCTATTTTCAGCTTTTTGAGGAAATTCCACACTGCTTTCCACAATGGCTGCACCAGTCTGCATTCCCACCAACAGTGTACTAGTATTCTCTTTTCTCTACGGCCTTGCCAGCACCTGTTGTTTGTTGATCTGTTTATGACGGCCATTCTCACCAGTGTGATGTGGTATCTCATTGTGGTTTTAAGCTTCATTTCTTTGATGGCTAGTGATGCTGAGCGTCCTTTCAAATGTCTCTGGGCCCTCTGCATCTCTTCCTTGGAAAAGTGTCTGCCCAGGTCCTTTGCCCATCTTTTGATTGGATCATTTGTCTTCTTGGAGTGGAGTTGTGTGAGTTCTTTATATATTTTGGAGATCAAACCTCTATCTGATGTATCATTAGCAAATATGTTTTCCCCTATGGTTGGCTCCCTTTTCATTTTTCTGATGTTTTCTTTAGCCGTGCAGAAGCTTCTTATTTTGATGAGGTCCCACTTGTTTATTTTTTCTTTTATGTCCCTTGCTTTAGGAGAAATGATTCATGGTTTTAATAATATTGCCCCTGTCAGTCCCGAGCTCACAGACCTTAGTGCCCTGTCCACATGTTCTGCTCATTCATAATACTTATGTAGAAAGGTATTATTTTATTCTCTAATCCTGGTTGACCCTGCCTCTCTTTTCTCTATACCTTTATTTTAGACCCAGTTTCCCCAGAATTTTCTCACGAATTTGCTGTGTCTTTACACAGTATACAATGGGGTTCACCAGAGGTGGCACTAGCAAGAAAATGTCAGCAATGAGGATCATGGCACTTGGGGACTCATGCTTGCCAAAGCGGTGCAGAAAGGCCAAAGCAGTGACGGGCACGTAGAAGATGAGCACAGCACAGATGTGGGAGACACAGGTGTTGAGGGCCTTGAGCCGTTCCTTGTGGGATCCAATTCCCATCACAGTCTTCAGGATGAATATGTATGACAGAGCAATGAATACACTGTCTGACATCATAGAGAGGGCAACAAAAAAACCATAGAAAAAGTCAACTGTGTTGTCAGAACAGGCCAGGTTCATGACATCCTGATGGAGACAATAGGGGTGAGAAAGGAGGCTTTCCTTACAGTATGTCAGTGTTTTGAGAGCTAAAGGAAATGGAAGCATTAAAAGCATGCTTTTAGTGAAAAACGCCAGGCACAGCTTAGCAACTCTGGCATTGGTGAGGATAGAGCTGTATCTCAGAGGGTTGCGTATGGCCAAAAAGCGGTCAAAAGACATTATCAGAAGTACTGAGGACTCCATATCCATGAATCCATGGATAAAGAATTCTTGAGCAAAGCAGACATTTGGGGAAATTCCTGTAGCATTGAAAACAAACGTCCTTACCATAGTGGGAAGGGATGAAAGAGAGAGGCCCAGGTCAGCAATGGCCAACATGGAAAGGAAGTAGTACATGGGTGTATGGAGTGAAGATTCTGTCCTGATCACAAAGAGGATGATGCAATTGCCGAGGATGGCCACCAGGTACATGAGGCAGATGGGAATAGAGATCCACACATGAACATGCTCCAGTCCTGGGATTCCAACCAAGAAGAAGGTGGTGATTTCAATGTCAGAGGAATTGAGAGTGTGCATGATAAATTAGTTGGAAAATACTTATTCCCAGGTCTGAAGTGGCACTTTCAACATAAGTCTATTACACTCACCTCCCTCCTGTCAGCACTTTTGTCTGAGACATAAACAAAGAAAATACAACTTTGAGAAATTTCTCATATTAAAGAATAAAAGAATGAAATATTTCTTCAAAACAGACAATTGATAGTGTTGGATAATGGAAATTGACAAAGAGAGCCAGAAATGTAAGTACTGTCTCGATCAATCACACTTCTCTACAATGTACTCAGAAAAAAATTACCCACATAAAGAGTAGTGAGTGACCTGTAAATAAATTTCCCCTTTCCTATTAGGCTGTCCCCTCCTTATGCCCACTGCTTTGCTCAAAAAGATTTTCAGGCCAAGCCTGGAGCTTCTAAAGGTGATTTTACTTAAAAGGTGATTTTACTCACAATTTCTCCACAGGAAGCAATACAAAGAAAGGGCAGGAAATAGGTCATGTGAGCTTCACTGTTGACACTCTCTTTAGAGTGAACGGATAGAATGTCCTTAAAAATGACTAATCTATAGCAATGTTCTCCATCCTTGAGCATAAGAGGAGAGAAAGGATTCTCGGACTTTCTCTATGGTCCAACATAGACATATAATGTGGCTTAGTCAATTGGACTGTTGGTGATAAGGAGATTGGTATAGTCTGAATCTTTTTTCTCTGACACCCTAAAATAAATAAATGTTCTATAACTATATATTTTTTCACAAACAACTGAGTTAACTATGTACATTTGAGAGGTTTCTCTTTATGTAATTAAATTCATCATGGATAGTGAGGTTCCAAGACACAGGAAGCATATCAGTTTCTACCCATTTACCTACAGAAAGTGAGGGTTTAATTGAGAGGCTCCACTTTGTCAGTGCCAACAGTGTTAGGAATCAGAAACACAGCTTTTCAACTAGTTCATTTTTCAAAATAAGACATTAATGAGTTGTCATTAAGGACCAATCTTCTTCTAGGAACCTGAGCTGCCTTCCAAAAAGGCAAAAGCAGTTAAGTCATGATCTGGGTATAAGCCACCCTCTCGCCTCTAAAATTCTCAATGTGAAAGTATGCAGAGGCCCCTTAAAACAGTGTTACCAGCTCTTTGGCAGCTCTATTTAGGTCAACTCAGAGGTGGCTTGCTCCCTGAAATCTTCATCCTGATCACTCCAAGCAGAGTTTACAAACCTTTATCATAACTTGCATTCGAACTCTATTACAGTACTGAAATTGTCCTGTGATTTATTTACTTATGTCTTTCTCAGTAGCCAATAAGTTCATGAAGATCAGTTTGTTTTCATATTAATGATCTTGATATTAGCAACATCAAGCACATTTCCCAACAAATAAAGCACATTCAATTGTTTTTAACTGAATATTATTAAACTGAATTGGTTTACATTTTGAGACCCAATTCCAATGTGTAGTGGAGGGGGAAGGAGGCTTCTCACACAACACTAAGCAATTGTCAGAACACCAGCAGGGTGTCATAAAATTATTCAACTCAATTCTGACACTATTCTGAGATAATATCATATCCTGCAGGTTAAGGGCTCAGTTCTACAAGATAAACCCCCTTCTCAGCTTCAAATCCCAATCAAATTCCAGGTTATCAACTCTGTTTCTGATCAATTGGCTACAGATCGGAGGGTTCCACCACCGTCTTCTTGGACTTCGATGCCTGTCACAAGTCCAGGTTGTGCTTATGACCAGCTTGTAATAAATCAAAAGTTACCACAACCCCCTCCTTGGATTTGATTTCTTTGCTAGAGCAGTTCACAGAAACAAGGAAACACATTTACTCACTAGATTATCATTGTATTATGCATGAATACAGCTCAGGAACAACCAGATGTAAGAGATGCACAGGGCATGGTATGTGGCAAGGGCCCGGAGCTTTCATGCTTCCCTGAGTGTGCTATTCTCCTCTACATCTCCAGGTGTTCACCCGCTTGAAAGCCCTCCAAACCCTGTCCTTGGGGCTTTTATGGACGCTTCTTTACATAGGCATGATTAATTAATCATTGGTCATTGGCAATTGTTTCAACTTTTAGCCTCTCTCCTTTCCCTGGAAGTCAGAGGTCAGGATGACTGAAAGTTCCAGTGCTCTAATCCAGAAGGTTGGTTCTGCTAGCGACCAACCCCCAAATTTGGTGAGGTTCAAAAGTCACGTCATTAACATGATAAAAGACATGTTAATTTCCTATCACTGAGAAAATTCCAACATAGCTCTGGGCTAAGAAGAGGAATAAAGTTCACGTGCATATTTCTTACTATAAATTACAATATCACATGGACAAATTCATTTAACTTAAAAAGCATTTTAAGTTCCCTAAATATCCCTCTGCTAAAGTCAATCTTTTTTCAGCATGGTTTTAACCCTCTGGCTTTGGAAGGATTGGAAGTGCTGTTTGCTTCCTGTCTTTCTCTTCCTGATTTCCTGGGCCTTTTTTCAACTTCAATCTATATGCCATTGTCAAAGTTATTTTTAACATTCCTCCCTTTACCCCTGCCTGTTTGCAAAACTTGTCTAAGTAATATATGAATTAAATAAACTTTTATTTAAAGGTTTAATTATCAAAACAAAGGCAGCAAAATCATAAATGGAAGTTTTTATTACGCAACTTATCTGTCATTTCTTTGGTATTTTCCTTCACGTTTATAATAAAATCTATAGTTTTTAGTGTAGCTGATAAAGACTACTAGGAGAAGGCTTCTAGATACCTCTCTAGTGTGCTACAACCACATTTCTTTTTGCTGCTCCTCAAATATTGCAACAGTCTTCCAATCTCAGCACTGCGATAATTGCTGTTTCCTTGGCTCTAATTGCTCTTTCTCAAAAGCCACATCCTCAGAGAGGACTCTCCTGACCAGGATAGTCATACTCTATTCCATTGTTCTTATTTTTTTTAAAAGGGCTCTTCTATAACTTTTATCACAAGAAAGCATATTTAATTGTCTTTTTTCACCTCTGGCAAGAAGATTTATAAGAACTTTATTATCATACTTCATCGCCCAAAATTTGGATTTTTGTAGCTTGGGCTCTGGAGATGCTTGCAAAGTATGACTGACCTTTTGGGCTCCAGGACTACTTGAAGAGCCAGCAGCCCACTTGTGCTGATTGTACTCCTTTCAATGCTGATGAATACCATTCCCTATATTATAATCGTGTACTATAATCAGAGACAGTTTTTTGTTCTACAGGCCTGAGCTGAAACTAGGACTTGATAAATGCTTAATCATATATTACCCATTGGTCTCACCTCATAATACCACTAACTCAGTGGTATCACTGAGTCAGACAACCATTGAAAGTTCAGTTGCCTCTACCAATTAGAAAACAAATGATGTAAGTTTATGATCATGTTTCCTGTACAATGCATCCCTTCGATAATCACCTCCTTGTAACTTTTGCTTTCATAAGCCTTGCCCATACTTCTCTATTCTGGAAAGTGTTCTCAGTTCATATAAAGGGCTATGTTTCTGGGTTTACAAATTACTACCTAAAGAAACTCTCTTTAAAATTTTAGATTTTTATTTACAGGCATCTAAAAAGTTCCCAATAATATTTTTTAGGTAAATAAATGAACAAATGATGTTTATTAAGAAACTATCAGTGCATTGATTGATGTGACAAAATATTTTCTGTATTTTAAAAATACAATTTAGAAAATCTTAGGGTTAGTATTAGTTTAAAAGAATATTCTTTTTGAAAGATTAAAATGATTAAATATAAGTGCAATAAAGACTGGTGCAGCCACTGGGGAAACAGTTTGGAATTTCCTCAAAAAGCTAAAAATGGAACTGCTTTTTGACCCAGCAATTCCACTGCTGGAATTATACCTTAAGAATCCCAAAACACCAATTCAAAAGAACCTATGCATTCCAATATTCACAGCAGCACAATTTACAATAGCCAAGTGCTGGAAGCAACCTAAGTGCCCATCAGTAAATGAGTGAATCAAAAAGCTATGGTACCTTTACACAATGGAATAATATGTAGAAGAAAGAAAGAGCTAATACCCTTTGTGACAGCATGGATGGAACTGGAGAGTGTTATACTAAATGAAATTAGCCAGGGGGCGAAAGAAAAATAGCATATGATCTCACCTATAAGTGGAAACTAACCAACAAAACAAACAAGCAGGGAAAATATAACCAGCAACATTGAAAGAAAAAAGAAACCAAAAGAATCAAGAGGGAAGGAGGGAGGCAGGAAAGGGAAAAGGAAGGGAAAAGTGAAGTCAAGGAGCAGGTATGGCGGACCCATGGACAAAGCCAAAGTGGGAAAGGATTGAGGCAGGGAGGTAGGGGAGGGAGACAGGGAAAAGTAGTGGTGGAAAAATGGAGACAAATATATTTGAACAATAAAAATTTTTTTAAATATATAAAATTAATAAATACACTTATCAATGTAGCTATAGTCTTTGTATATGTCATTATGTAATTATTAAATAAATAAATAAATAAATTACTTCAAAGATATATACATAAGGCACTTTATTTTATTCCCAGATACTAAATTTTGGGGAAGAGAAGAAGAAACTTACGGTGGATTGAAAGAGAAAATAGGGTAAAAAGAGGGTGGACATTAACATTTATTGCATTGCGATGGATGATTTATATTTGTCCTTTTATTTAATCCTTACATGATAGTATTATTCTTGTTTTACAAATTTTAAAACTGAAGCATAGAGAAATTAATTAATTACCTGAGAAAAATATTGTTATAAACAGACATAAGTTTTGAACTGATGTTATTTGATTTTAAGCTATTCAATTGTACTCCGTTTCTATCTTGTTTTGATTAATGTGTTTAAAAATTGAATAAATCACAAGTAAATTGCATTAATGGAGGATACATAAAAAATTAGTGATGTAATAAGTAATATACATCTCAGAGTAGGCTGAAGCTTTAAACTTTATTATGTGCCAGTTCCGGTACCTGAGAGTTACGTCTAAAACTATTTTAATTAATACAAGTCAT